CTCAAACAAAGCTCAGAAATAGGAAATAAGAACTCTTTTTATATTTTTATTTAATTAAATTTTTATTTTTATTTTTCTTGAAATAGAAAGAAAAATAATTGCCTTTCCCCGGCAACGGCGCCAAATTTGACGTGCATTTGTCGTGAGGTGCACTCAAAATAATAATCAATACAACACTAATACGTAGTATAGTGAAGTAAGGTTCGTATCCACAGGGAAAGGAATACTTTTCTTCTTACAGAAATAGATGAGTAACAATAAGGGGGGTTTATATTTGGTTGATGAGCTTTAAATTATATTTAAACACGAAGATGAACGAGTTATGTGATTTAATTAATGAGAAGAAGACTTGGCTTTGCTTTTATCCACTTAATGAAATGTTCGTCGATCCCGGTTATATCTTTAACTATCTTCCTCTCGAATACTCAATCGAGGAGTATATCCAATTCATCGAGGGTAGTTATTAATAACGAGACGCGTTCATTAATAAAACTTACTACCGAGTTAATATAGAACACGCGCCGTATATTCACTCGATAGTAGCAATAAAATCAAGATGAAAACGATTGAGATTGATAACCTCAACACAAGCGGTTTGTCGGTTTAATCAATATAATTAATTCCCCTTGGCTTACTAACCATGAGACGCATGCATTAGCAACCCAAGTTTACTACCGTGAAAGGGCCGAGTTAATAACAAGCGTATTAATCGACCGATTCTAGTATTAATCAATATATGAAACAAAACTAGTTGATCCTTTAAGTATTGCTCAAAATATTAATATGTAATAGGAATAGGAAGTAATTAATACTCAAGGAAGAAGATCAAAGAAAATAACTCACAACTTACAATCCATTAAGCTTCAAAGTAGCAAAACCAAGATGGAAGAGTTTAGCTCCTCATTTGGAGACTAAACATGATAAAATATAAAGAAAGAACTTGTCTAAACTGAGCTTAGAAGTATATGTGAATTGGTCCCCTTCTTGTGGAGGAAATGGGGTGTATTTATAGGCTTTTTAGGCTTGCAGGGTCGTGTACCCGATCGGGTTTTCAGCCCACTCGATCGGGTACCATATGTGGCTTCGGCGAAGCTGAAAAATGGGGTCATACCCGATCGGGTCTGTCGGTCACCCGATCGGGTATGGACACCCGAACGTGTTAAAATCTTCCCGCATGATGCCTTGTTCCCGGATTTGATTTGATTCGAAATTTCAGAAGGGTACCCGACCGGGTATAGGTCATACCCGATCGGGTACAGACCAAAAACGAGATCTTCAATCTTTTTCTTGCATTCTTGCACCTTCCTTGTACTGGTGATGTTCTCCAAAGTGTATTTGGACCTGTTTGAGCTCAGAATAAACCTAATCTAAACATATTACAAATATTTTACAAACTAAACTATTTACACCAAAAGTGTGTAATTTCCAAAGTAACAATCACTCGAAACTAATTAAAAGCACAAATTTAAATATGGAAATTACACGAATGTCAGTGACTCATTTTAAATGAGTGGGCTAAATAAAAACTCTAAATAAGGAATCAAACAAAACCCTAACACAATCTATCGGAATCGATCGGCAGCTTCGCATCTCCTCTCTCACTACGTCCGCCGCCGCCGCCACATCTTCCACACGCCGCCTCAGTTCCCACCCAGCCGCCGTCGCCGCTTCATCTCTCACCCATTCGTCACTGGTTTGTCTCCCACCCTTCGATTGTCACGATTTCATCTCTCATCCGTCAGTCACAGCTTCACCGTTGCTCCACCTCCTCTTGCTCCTCCTGCTCCTGCTCCTGCCGCCGCCGCTGCCGCCGCTGCTTTATAGTACAAACATTTGCACATTTATTGAAATGGTCTATTGTGATTAAAGTTCATCTCATCCATCTATTTTCAAGTGATCAAAGGTCAATATTTATTCTCACTTTTCATGGGAAGACTACTTTTTACTTGAACTGACCCATATATATATATATATATATATATATATATATATATATATATATATATATACACATAATGTTATCTGATACGCGGTAAATGATATCCGTTTGTCTTTTTTTAAGGACTCCTCATTCATCTTGGAATGGGTGATCATTTCAAGGCGTTTGCAATTGGATTTTTGTTAGGATGGTGCCAAAGACTGATCATGCACCTTTGGAGAAGTGTAATGTTTTTCATGTCCTAATAGTCATTCTTTTGCTGTATGCTGGCATCTCCAATCGTAGAGTGGATTGAACTAAGGGCCATCCTAACTGCTATATGAGAGAGATAAAGATAGGATGATTGTGTTGATTTCAATAGAGAAACTGGTGTGTAGGGAAAATTTAAAATAAATTAAAAAGAGGAGTAAGATAGAGATAAATTGTAGACTTGGGTAAAAATGGAACTCATGTATGTGTAATAATGTGTAAGAGTCAACACCCAACCATTGGAGATGATTACTATAAACTTATTTGGTGTTTATTGAGTTTTATGGTTTTGTATATGCTTATTTACTAAAAGAATAATTTAATATGTATATTTATTAAATATAAATATAAATACTATGTATTTATATAAATACATAGTATTTGTATTTATTGGTATTTGTATGATTGTATATTATTGTACATATATTATGTTTATAGTACGAATATATTTTTAAAATATGAGGCCCGATAATTAGTGGGGTCTAGCGACTCATAACCTAATTAACCTCTTATTCTCCGGCCATGTATGAAGTTATGATACTTGATCCAATTACTATTATTATTATGAGTTTAAGTCATTAAATTAAATTAATGTACTAGCTAAAAATTTAAAATATTACTTGGACTCTAAGATCTTACTATCTATGTTAAGATCCATCAAGCCCTTACTGATCCACGTTAGGATTTCAAGTTTAATTGCCATGATGCTGTGAGTTAGGATATTTATAATTCGATTGAATTTGTTTGGCCTAGACTGAATAGGGTCGGTTCAGTATAGTAGATGTCTATTTTATGTGTAATTACCACTGTTTAAGCTTGGTGTAGTTGTGTTTTGATCTGTTTAAGTCCGGTCTTGTTTGGTTTGAGATTGAAATTAGTTCATTTAAAAACATTCTAATGTTTTATTATCTTCTTTTTCTTATAGCGCAAGCCTAAATCTCCCATCGAAGTAGAATTGTTAGCCCTTTCAGAAGAGTTTGGAAGAGACCTTCGAGAATTAGGTAAAAAATATCTTGGCATGAAGGACCACAGTTATGGTCCTGAATTAGTTAAGCTCTATAGAGAGTACGATCGTAAAGTATTGCTATTGGAGAAGGCTCTCTTTGAAGAGGAAGAGGAAGATATGTTGAACTTGTAATGTGGAAGTGGCGTCACATACACTACAATTAGGGATGGATATGGACTAGGTATAAAAGGCGGGGGCCGTTTGAATATGTTTCGATTTGACTAAAGCATAGCTTATTAACTATTAAATGCATGTTTTTCGTCGAAGTCCGGATTGTTTTTTTTTCTTTTGTCATCAACTCCAATAAATCTTATTAACTCAACAATTCATTAGCCAAATGGCTAGCAATACAAATAGGTAACACATTAATTTTCATTTGAATGGGAAAAAATATTATGACTCGTTTTAGTACAAACTATTTTTCGACCGTCAAGTTAAGAAAGTCTTATCGTAAGTGGTAAAAAATAAATGTAAACATATAAATGATAAAAGCGCAATAATATTTCTAAAAGTGCAATGTAGTACTTCTAGGTATGCAATTTTACGGTATAATAATTACATTAGAGATATGTTCCAATAAGAAAATTACATTAGAGATAAAAGTGCATAATTTTGCTGATATGGGTGTACGTACTACATACTTAAGTTGCACATTTATTCATTTTAATATAAAGATTGAAACTATATTATGACTCATATCTGAACGAGTTTCTTTTAACGAACTAAACCACTAGATCACATATATATTGTTAAAACATTTATATCATAAAGTGCATAATATTTAGTTTAAGAATAAACGTGTAGATACAAATCATAAAAGTGACCAAAAATATTTTAAAAGTGCATATTTATTTCTTTTAGACATGTAAGTGCACAACTGTATAATTAAAGATAAAAGTGCATAACTTTGCAATATCAGTGCACAACTAAAATAATATATATGCATATTTTGGAGAAAATATTACCACTTACGATAAGAATTTCTACGAATTAAATGACCCACTTAAAAATGAGTTTTTTATGAACTAAACTAGATCACATAATATATTGCTAAAACATTTATACTATAAAAGGCACATGCAATAGTTTTGTTATGAATAAATGTGCATATATAGATAATAAAAGTGATCAAAAATATTTTTAAAAATTATATAGTTAAAAATATTTGCTTTTAGATATAAAAGGGGCGAGCCATCCGTTAAAAGATCCCGAAAAACGTGGACTGGCGGATTCGAACTACGAACTTGAGTGACAAGTTGAGCTAGATTATTAATTTATTATCATTACTTTTAAAGACTTCACAAAAAAAGTCATTTATAGTATAAATGATTTGTTATAGATTATCCGGGAAATTCCATTCGAACTTATTAAAAGTTCGTATGACAAACAAATCATTAAATGAAATATTTTAATTGTGAGTTTAAAAATTTTGCACTTTTATTGTGATCGAATTAAAAGTTCCAAAAAAAACAAACAAATCATTAAATGAAATATTTTAATAATTTAGAATCAAAAGCAATGATAATCTATAAATGACAAATCATATATAAAAGTGCAAAATTATATTATCCGGGAAATTCCATTCGAACTTCCTTTTTTTTTTTATTTTCCAGAACACTTTTTGGCTAGATTTTTGGTAAAATGGAATGATTTTTGAATGTTTTTGGGAGGATTTCTCACTTGATTATGCTCAAACTCTCGATGAAAGCACCATTTGATAGAGTATTTAATTCTAGAGAGGTGAGAGCTAGAGAGAGAAAGTAAGTACTTATATATCTCAACCCCTATAATTAGTCCTTGGGGTTTATTTATAGGTAAAAAAGTGGATTCCGGGCCCCTAGCCTTCTATGGGCGAATAGAGGCACTAATGGGCTGAGTACAACACTTAGTAAATAAAATAGGGGAATATATTCTGCCAGGACGAAGTCTGGCCGATGCGGCACACTTTGGCCGATGCGGTCCATAGCCGATGCCTTTAGGAGCCCGGGTGATATCCTCTTCCTTGGCCGTTGTGGGCCTCTGGCCGATGCGTGCCACGTGGGTGCCCTGCTGGCGTCCTTTGGGCCGTTGAGTATGTGGGCCATGGGGTCGAGGCCCATATACTCTATCACTCAGTTTTACCATGAAGCATTAGGAGGGCTGTGCCATATCTTCCCTTTCATACAACCAGTTTCATACCATAGGATTTCAAAAAAAAAGCAACATGTGAAAGAGACACAATTTGTTATTTCCTGGGCATTCAAGTCTTCAAGATACAAAGTTAGTCTAGACAATAGTCACCAAAGTTCGCGAGTTAAGAAATACAAATATCTTTTAAATTCTTGACTCGCAAAGGTGGGGAGCAAAGCACAGACCCTTGATCACATTTATAAAAACCTTTGAGTAAACTGCGATAATCTCCCAATTACCAATACCAATGGTGATGATCTCCGGCTGCAACATTTGATTGAGGTTTGTTCCCATAGGATTTTCTCGGCCATAACCATATTACTGACCGAGGTATCGAAAAGGCACCTCGGCTTGGAAAGAGAACCACTCCTCTCTATATGAGGACACAGTCGACCTAGAGGAAGTAGGGGACTCCGCCTCAGCAACACATCCAAGGACGAGGATGACGAGGTACAGACAAGAACCACTACCTTTAAAATATGAGCCTGAAACCACGGGCCACACACTCACAACACACCCCCAACCCGACTGAAATATACGCCAGGAACAACCTCAACCTAGGCGCCTTCCTAGTTGAAGATGTTTTTATTAGCCTACATGTCGTCTCCGCATATGCACAAGACCTTTGCACATAGAATGCAACACGTGTATAGTGCATTAAATGCCTCTCATTTATTGCAACTATAAATACCCTCACTTTGATAGTGAACATTCAATATTACATATTATCACTTTCTTTTTAATTTTTTACTTAACTCTACTTTCTCTCTATAATACATTAGCAGTTTACCGTATAATTATCATTTAGTGTTTTCATTAAGAGATGAAATAATGAAGTTAATTCTTCTTTGTCAAGGAAAGACTAAGGGTTGGTTTGCAACTCCTTTTAAAAAAGCACTTCTCAGCTTTTGATTTTAAAAAAGCACTTATTTTCCCAAACACTACAACTTTTATTTTTCTCGGCTTCCGCGTCAAAAGTGCTTTTACTTTTTCAATTACACAAAAAGCACTTATTTTACCAAACACTACCCACTTTTTCTTTTCAAAATCACTTTTTTCTCAAACATTATCAACTTTTATTTAATCACTTCTCTCCATTTCATTAAAAAGCACTTTTTTAAAAGTAGAAGCTGTTGCAAACAGACCCTAACACACCTTCAAACGAAATGGGACACAAGATGCTCCATGCAACCCAATCCCACTCGGGCCACTCGATCATTGCAGGAGAAGTCTAGAGAAACCATGACATTGTCCAGGGCCACAAGGATAGCTAGGGAGGGGCCGTCCTCTATGAGGTAGACCAGATCATCTATCTTCGAAATCAAATCCAACACCACACAATTGACATTTGGCCAACACTGAACATCATAAGAAAAGATAAGATGCTGAGTCATCCCACTCTAGCCTAATTCAGACATTGTGCACTACCGGGAGAAAAACAAACTCTGATTCGTCAAAATTGAAAGTGATCAAATCTTCACCTATATTACGTTGGAAAATGTGTTAATAAATTGCATTAAATGGTCATTTTGGGGAAATTTTTTTAGTGGAGTCCACTTCCGATTTGGATCGGGTCAAAGTGGGTTCGGATTGTCTTTTCTTAAGACTGCAATTCGATATATGATACGCTCAAAACGGATAACAGGTGAATTAGAAATTAATTATTGAAGTTCACTCGTTGAAATGGAAAAAACTAGTGTGGTTATCTACTCCGTATCTTCTAAAGATAACATTAATTTTTGTTCTTCATTTACGTACCTGTTTTTTTCTCCAACGCTCATATTGCAAATTCTACCCTATAAAAGGCTAGCAGATGCTTTGCAAAAACATATCATTCATACACGAAATCCACATTTCTCTAACTCGAAAACACTCCAGCTTTCTCCGATCCTTTGTGTTCTTACTTAGTTCTTGTTTGCTGGAACTATTCGGTTAAGTGCTTAATGAATAGCTCGTAATCGTATACTCGGAAACAGTCATTAAATTACAACGCTCCTACCACCCTAAGGGGCAACTAATACGTTTTAAGGACATCATGCATAGCACGAGCTTTAATTATTTTCTGCTTCATCTATTTCCTGTTTTCGTTTAGTCATTTTATTTAATTAATTTTTGTTAATTAAATTTTTTTTTTTTTTTTTTCGAAACACACCCAACATATTATTCCTCATGGTTAATAAAATTCTTTTTCGAATCATGAATAAATTGAGCACTCAATAACGATCTCACAAACATCAAACATATTCCGAATATACGTAGTAATAAATAGATGATCTTGATTGTGATTTTAGCAAATACTCCGTATGAAAACAATCATGACATCAAAAATTTATTTCAACTTCTGTAGAGCAAAATCAATAGCACATGCATCCACGTCCAGCCTTTCCGAGGTGCCGGGATTGGTATTTCCGTATTTCTTGAAGGTATTTCCGTATTTCTAATCTTTCGTATCTCATAAATTCTTCTAAACATTTTTTTTCTAAACATTTTTATCATAAATTTAACAAGTAACATATCATGTGTCCCATCCAATAATCAAATCTCGATACTAATGTGTCAAATTTTAATTAAAACAAAACGTTGAAGACATCTTAAATTCTTAATGGAGTCCTTTGCAAGGGAAGCAAGTTTAACAAATCGCATGACTGACCAAAAGTCATTACCATAAATAGTGTTTCTGATTCTCTTCTACATCAGACCAGATAGCACCGAGGACCACCTTGAGATCGATGAAAGAGTGACACCAAAATCTCCATGAAATTTAGATTTTCGATTGGCCAATTGTGAAGAGCCACGCACCCCCACCTTGCTCTAAAACGATGCAGAGATGGATCCATCTTAAAATGCTCTATCGAATAATCTTATACGTCAAAAGTCAAAATTAATGGCATTGAAGAGCGATTTTAATCAGTAACAGAACGACTGCTAAAATCCACACAAAATAAGAAAAACAGACCAAAATTCAGCCTATTGAAACAGGTTTCCAAGACCAAAGTTAGAACCTCCGATTCCCAACATTCCGACCTCCGCTGAGGTGGCAGCGTCGCCCCCATAAATATCATGCGATTCAGATGAAGCTGCAACTATGGGTGGCGACGTGGCGGTGTTGAATTGTTCGGAGCGGTTTACAGCTTTCCCGGAGCTCTCGCCTGGATCCAGCCCCTGGTCGTAGAGGAACCCTTTGAATACGTGGCCGCCGATTCTCACCACCGCCTGGAAAGCGTATTCGTCGTCCTCTCCGCCGTCCATGGGACTCACCCGAACGCACCGGAACTCCGCCGGAGCTGTGACCTGCTTCGGCATAGAACCGCCGCCGCTGTCTCCCGTGGTGGCAGTCGCAGCCGTGTTGTTCGACGTTGAAGTGTGCGATGTTTGGGATTGGTTGCCGAGGACAAGCCTGGGTTTCTTCGCGCCGGAAGAAGCGGACTGCGAGCAAGATGCCGTCACGGCGGAGTTGGAATAGAGGTGGCGCTCGCGGCGGCGAGCGGCGGGAACCCACGTGCTCTTCACGTGGGTGGAACAGGGCAGCCCTCGATTCTTGCAGCAAGTCCTGCACCTCTGGTGGATGCAGTCCTTTTTCGCCTGGTTTCCGCAGTCTTGGCAAGTGGCCGCCGCCGCAGATGATGAAAATCCGACACACTCAATCCCATTTCCGCCGCCGTGGACCGGAGGAAATTCTTGACGGTCAACGCAAGTGCTTCCCTGGGTGTGCTGCAGCTCAACCCCGGCTTCGTTCCCTTTCTTGGTATAATCGTTATCCGTAACGCTAGCCCTTGGAGAGTTATATCCCTCCGCCGCATCCGCCGCGGCTACGGCGGCGGAGGCTTGTTGGTTCTGCCACAACTGAAATCCACCTCCATTACCGCGGCCTCTGTTGCAGGTGTTCACAAACAAGTCGTCGGCAGCCAAAGGGATCACACCCACCCCGACGCCGAGAGCAGGGGTGGATCCGCCGTCGAAGCCGATGAAACCGGAGGGGCTCTGGCTGTGATAATGTTGGGGTTGACCACCGTTGAACCCGCTGTGGTGGTGGAGGAAGGTGGCTGCCGGCGCCACCACAAACATTCCCATATCCGGCGACAACCCATTGTTGATCTGCATCTGCCTAGCGGCAGAGGAGCTCCACTGCCCATCATGGGCGGCTGCCGCGCTGCCACCGTCGACGGCGGCGCTGACAGAATCTTGAGCGGCATTAAAACCCAAAGAAAGGTCCCCAAAAGCTGCGGCGGCAGAGGAATGAGAGGCAGAGGAAGAAGCCACAGCCCAGTCTGCTATATTGCTATCTCCAGGTTGCAAAAACAGCAGCCTCCTGGCAGTAGCCACAACTGCAGATTCTGTGATTCTAAAAACAAATTCAAAAAAAGAAATCAACTTTCAAGTACTGTAATTATTGGGTGTTCAAGAATGATGAAAACCCAAAGATCATTGGGGTCTACATGAAACTGAAAGGTAAATTTTTATAATAGAACAAACAAAATCATGAACGTGTAACTAATCACTCACCGTAGATCAATGGGATGAATGACAAAACACGAGCTTTTTTAGGGGGTTCCGTGCCTTCTCCTCCAATCACCTATAGCCTAGGCCCTAGAATATACTGCTCAACTTTATTGACCATGTCGTTTATACTATTAATGAAAATACCATTTTAAGTTCATTTGAATTTGTGAATTGATTAACTTCGGTGTCCGATAGGGATGACAATGAGCGGATGAGAACGGTTTTACATATAACCGTACTCGTCTCATTGGATAATTTCCTGCCCCGTAACCGTCTCATTACCCAACGAGAAATTTTTATTCAAATCATAACCGCCCCAATGGGTAAATTTTGTTGGAATTATTTAGAATATTTCAAATAAATATTTTTTATTTATTTAATTAGTATCTAATTTGCTAATGACCGAGCACTTAATTGACCAAGTGGGTTCTCAACTACTACCTCCGTCCCTTAAAACTTTGCCAAAGTTGACTGGCACGGAGAATAATAAAGTAAAAACTGTGTGGTTGAGATTTGTGCAGAGGAGAGAGAAATAACAGAAACCACAAAATAATTGATTAAAAGAGAAAGTGGCAAAGTTTTTGGGGACGTTCCGAAAAGGAAAGATGACAAAGTTTTAAGGGACGGAGGGAGTATTTTCTAAACGTGCATGTTACGTTGGTTGACGGAGTTATACTTGGCTGAGCTTTTTCCTCTCCATATTTTTAGGATCAATAACAATACTCCGTATTATTGTTCCATCCTTTTTCTATTAATAAACTAGTATCGTACTCGTGCTTACGCACGGGAAATAGCAGCTGGCAGGGGTGTAGCTAGGATTGAAGGTAGGATTGGGCCGTACAAAGAATTTTTAAGATAATTTTTTTTCACATAAATTTTTAGCCTAAAAATACAAAGAATTTTCAAATTTGGGGCGGGCCGTGGCCCAGTTGGCCACCCCTCTAGCTCCGCCCCCTGGCAGCTGGTGCCATACATTTGATCATGGTCTAATTAAATATGAAAATAAAATAACTTACATACGTAGCATTTGAATTTTACTTATTACAAAAGTCGGATTACAATAAGCTAGTACCATAAAGTATAAGTTCATACAATAAATACTCCTACTTCCGTCTCCTTAAGTTTGATACATGAGGTGGAGATGCAATTATTAAGAAAAGTGAATTTATGTGGTTGTATTGAAGTGATAAAGTAAGAAGGATTTAAAGTCACATACACAAACAATACCACATTTGGTATAAGACAGTTTTAGTGTGACATATCGCAAAAGAAAGATGAGACAAAGAAATATGCTTTCACGTAAGATTTTAAAGAACTTCTTTAAAGAAAAAATTTGTGGTAATGTGTAATGAATTCCCTTCATTAATTTTCATGTATAAGATCTCCAATTCACATTTGCTCAGAAGTCTTAGTAATGTCACATGTAACTATCCATGACTAAATATAAGTCTAGGAAGTTATACTCTAACTCCGGTGATTAGCCTTCAAGTTTGTTGATTGTCGTAGCATAGAAGACATTTAACTTTGAAAGTCCATAGTAACAGGGAAAAATATATATACACATGCAAAAAATGTAAATCTCATTTCCTAGGTTGTCTCCATACATTTTCTTGCTCCAATGACATGACTTTGAAGTTGTGACAATTAATCTAGTTACATTACATATTTTTTTTTTTTGAAATTGATCAACATTTCTAAACAACGTTTTTAGATTTGCAAACTTGATTTTATCTTAAAATTTCGAACCTATGTTCCTAAAAAATTTAGAAACTCAGGTGTATGCTTCAAATCTTCTCTTTCAACTACATCCAACTCGTGTACAAAATCACACCTTCAATATTCTCGCTCTTCACCTACAATAATAAAATATTACCCCCGTAGACCGTAGTAGTATATTTAATTCAAATAATTATTTCAATTTAGTTTTTGGTGTGTAAGTAAATAAGAAAGCAATATATGTCAAAAATTATCTAGGGAAGGAAATAAACATAGTCATTGATTTCATCTAAGATTTCAATATCATTGGACAAATTATTTCACATCTTTGGCTATGTAGATTTACTCTCTTCGAGACAGTTTGGTGACCCTGTTTTTTGGCTTATTATACTTATCAGATAACTTTTTTACGAAACACGTAATTGTTGATTTCACGCGCTAAATTGTGTAATAATAAGAAAAAGTAAGATTGAAGTTACATTTCCAACAGTATTGACTTTGGAGTTACTATAAAAGATCAATTTAGTTATTTTTTCATATAATTTTTTCTTTACTTTACTAACAAAGTAGATTTAAATAAATTTTTTCATAAATCAACAGAATCAGCCAATACAGCCACTTCAATCAGAACTTCATAAGTTTCAACAGAATAAGCCGATTAAGCCGGATTCAGTATTACCAAACGGGCTCTTGGTCTTTAAGATACGTACAAATTTCCCTTTTTTTTCATGCCAAAGTGACTCCACTATCTTGATAGCAACATTCTAATTTTTTTTTGTTTACACTAATATTTTCTTTCATTTATTATGAAAATATACCTTATATATGACTAAAATGAATCTAAAGTGTCGGTTCTTTCCTTTGACAGTGAACATTGATTTTTTTTTTCTCAAATTCCCTTGGCATGAAATTGCAAGTCTTGTAGGATAACTAATTAAATTTCGTGCCCCACCATTTATACCCCAATACAACATGTATACCATGGGCTGATGAACATCCTATAAAGTTGCCTAGTCTAGAGCTGGTGTTTTAGCTACTGGACTGCTATCTATTCAGTCCTTTTCTTGAAAGATTTAATATACAACTCTCTAGTGTCATTTTGAAACACACAAATGTTCAATGTCTCAACTCTCAAGCAGTTGTGGTGAATTTAGAAACACAGACTGAGCTGTTCAGATGAGCTTCTCTCGTTTGTTGGCGGCATCACCACCTGTTGGTTAGCTGAGTAGCTTAATAGATATAGACCAGAGCTTGTATGCAGCATGTGATGGCTTGGGAAAAATTCCTCAACTGAGTGACAGATGAACAATTCTCCCATTAGAGCATACAATAGCTTCTGGTGGCCAGAGAGTAAAATTACATTATAAGAATAAAACATGGAACTTTTTAAGCATAAGATGCTATTCTGGTCTTAAGCATGTTTTTAATCCCTCCAAATAATTTATGTCATTTTGTTTTTAGTCGCTCCGAATCAATCCATTGAAAGGAAAAATGTAATGTGGCTATGAAAACTCCCATGTAGCCTATCCATGTCATTTCTGAGGAATGCTGAAGTTTCTTTTTCCACATCATTCCAACTTTCTATAATTCACGCACTACAAGATTTATCACTTTTTCATACAAATAAGTTTTGTTGGGAAAGGATTGATTTTGTAGGGAAAACTCTTTACCCACAAAATAACTTTGTGGAGATATTTGTGGGGCAAAGCATGTAGGGAAAGAGTTTACCCGACAAAATATATATCTTTGTCTGGAAAGGTCTAGCCCTGCAAAATTCTACCCATACAAATCACTTTCGTCTACAAAGTTCTTACCACACAAGTCATAGTTTGTAGGAAGAAATACTTTTACTACAAATTAATATTTGTAGGCAGAGAAGATTGCTTCAGCCCAAAATTTGGAAAATGAAAGGTAATACTTATTTAATTTATGATCACAAACAAGCCAGAACTTGTTGAAACCACTCTATAAGTGAAGAGATGAGTTAAACTTACTCATATAGAAGTAGTTTATAAGGAGATAATGAGGAAGGCTATCAAACATTTTACTTGAAAAAATCAGCTTTAATAAATAACAGTAAGCATACAAAAAGTTCTATGTAATGTTAAAGAAAATAAAACTTGTTTACATATGATACTACATATGAATTTTTGAAAGAAAAACAAAGTAAACTGAAAATAAGATATTTTAGTAACATGGATCTCTATTCTCTACCATAGTTTGCCTCATCAAAATTTCCTTCTTCATCATCAACACTATTATCTTCATCTGATTCTTCATCCTCAATGGAAAGTGACACAAATGGAGGAATAACAACTGCATGAACTTGCTTGATTGCATAATTGCTTCAAAGAGTTATGTCAAGAATGCAGTGTAGTATTGAAGTTGTGCTCAACATTTTCATTCTTCTTTGCCTGATTCGAAACTTTTCGAGGAGCATGTTCAACTTCTAGCTCATTCGACGACTGCATAACTTTTGCACAAGATGACCCACTACCACGAAAGTGACCATCAACAAGTATTTCTTCCAAAGGAGTTTCTTCCATCCTTTGCCTTTTCCTTGAGGTAATCAGTAGTTTTAGAAACCATTTCATCCTATAAATGAGTAAAAAATAAAATAAAATTGACATTACATTCGAAATTTTTATTTAAGACTTGAGATTGTAGACAAAATATGCCGAAACCACTAGAATGAAAGGAACTCGAAAATTAAATTACATAACACACTTGAATCTTTATATAGAATCCATAATTGATGGAATTAAATTAGCTTTGAATAGTCTAATATAAAAAAATGAAAATGACATTGTTTTGTTAAAAATCAATATCTTTAAATTTATACAATAGGTTGTTGGATACAATAAATTTATATCAAACTCATATTAATGTTAATTGATGCTGCTTCAAAAACTGATCCAGTAGGAAAATAAGTATCAACCTAAAAGAAACCTAAATTAAAATGTATATTCACTTAGATGAAAAATATCTCAATTTTATATCGGCTGATAAGGAAAGTTAAACCAAAAGGAACATCTTACATGTTGTGCTTTATCTAATTCTCTGTGCTATCAGTTCATTTTTTTTCACATAAGTGAACTCGAAAGCATCAACCTCTGAAAATTTAGAGCCATCCTATCACAAAATAACCAAGTTATAAACACAGACATTTATTGTTTTAATCAACATACAATCATATGTTCTTTTGTAGCAATCCTTTACCACCGCTATATCTTCAAGTATGATGGTTATGCTCTTTTTTAGCAATTCTATATGTTTAATGATGATGATTTCTGCAAAAGATATGTAAATTACTAAATTATATACAAAACAAGTACCATAAAGATATATGGCTTCCTTAACCTTAATCTTATGCAAAAGTGCATAAACTGCTTGTTTAGAAAGTTCCTGCTGTGATAGAGATTGTAAATGTGACCTGAAGTTAAGATCCTAAACAATATTTTCAAATATATAATTCTTAAAAAGATATTCTATAGGACTAAAAAAACTGTTATTTTTTTGCTTCTGAACTAGTTTACTCTTTTCACAAACATTGAATATCTGAAAAGTGAGTTTGCGAAAATATATTAAATTCCTTTTT